ACTCTTTCTAAATTTTGGGAAACGTGAAAGCTAAAAATGGAATAGTGATTTAGGCATATGGAGGTTTTCACTATACCTGTTTTAGACAAGGAGCTTTTTACAGCATTATGGCACATGAATTTCCAGCAGTAGCCCCATCAGAGATGAACGTCTGTGTCCTGTTTTTGCAAAAATGCTTCTGAATGCTTTAGTAATAAACCTTGGTTTTTGAAAAGTGTGATTAATTCTCAGATAAAACCACCCTCGCTTAAGAATGAGTCAGATGTAGGTTTTTGGTTGCCTGCTGTCAGATTAAGGAATAATTTTGCATGGGCGAGTTTCCCAGCTGAAAGCTTCCTTGCCTGCCACCTCACTTGGGGAAGAGGTGCTCTTCATGCAGCAAATACTGGCTAAAACATGTGGTGCTTTTGAAGCAAGCTTAGCTCCCACCCTAGATGGGGGAGAACCTCAGCAGTCCCCCACGGTGACGACACACATGTAATTCGCTGTGAATGATTTCTCCATCGTGCTGTGACTGAGTGGGGAATGGTCAGAGGATATTTTGCCCTTCAAGCCCCAAAAGCCAGTGGTGTGCCATGACCGGGGCCAGCAGGGCGGGCAGGGAGAGGGTGACAACGTGTGCCACCCTGGGACCCTGGCAAACAGCACAGGGACCTGGTGGCCTGGGTGCCTGCCTTCCTTCCTAGCACCAGGATATCAAGCGTCCGCAGCAAAGTGGCACACTGGGGACTGAACGGGTGCGAAGCACAGAAGGAGAAGCAATATTTTTTGCTATGTACGACTTCCTACAATGGAGTGCTTTGCTTGGAAAGAAAAAAAAAAAGGCGCGTTCGCCCTTGCAGCGCGAGGCTGCCTCCTGCAGAAGTCGTGTCCCTCCCTGCGGGTCGCCCAGTGTCTCTCTTCCCTTGCAGAATGTGAACATCTGATCCGCCACATGCTGGTCCTGGACCCAAGCAAGCGGCTCTCCATGGAGCAGATCTGCAAACACAAGTGGATGAAGCTTGGGGAGGCTGATGCAGAGTTTGACAGGGTGAGAAGCAGAAGCGAGCTGGTGTGTGAGTGGGGACTGCTCGCTGCCTGCCGGGCTGCAGACGGGCTCCGGGCACGTAGCGCTGCGACGTTCGCTTTGGCTGTTTGAGAACTCTCATTCTGAGCGCTGCTGTGCTGCCTTCCCGCTTTCTGTGTCTCCTAGTCTCACTTTCCACATCGCTCCTGATCTGCCTGTATTTTTGTATCTTTCCCCTTGGCGTTGGGAGCCTAAGGCGCTAGATTTCGCCTCGGTGTGCCATCAGCCTTCAGAGCTCATGTCAGCTTGCAGCCGGAGCCTGGTGCATTGGTTCTTCAGAGCGCTATGACTCATCGATGTGCCTTTGGGAATGTCGCACTGAAGTCCGTGTCTGTGCTCTTACAGCTGATAGCAGAGTGTCAGCACCTAAAGACGGAGAGGCAGATGGAGCCACCGAACGAGGAGGTGTTGCTGGCGATGGCGGACATGGGGCTGGACAAGGAGCGCACAATTCAGGTAGGACCACAGCTGACAGTCGTGTCCTGCCTGCTCCCCTCGGAGATCAAATGACCGTGTTTGTCGCTTATCGCCTCTGGTAACTGGGCAGCCTCAGCACAGTATGGAGCATATTTTATTGCTTGACGAAAAGAACTGACCACAGTTTCCTTTTCCTCTTTTAGTCGTTAAGAGCTGATGCTTATGATCACTACAGTGCAATCTACAGCCTGCTCTGCGATCGTCTGAAGAGACACAAGAACCTGCGCATTGCAACATCTCCAAGTATACCACGGACCATGACCTTCCCCACCTCTGCTAACATCCAGGTAGATCCTGCTTGCGTAGTGCTCTTCCAGCCCTGGAAGGCCAGCTGGCCTCTTACCTCATCCTGGCAGGAGTATCTAAACGTTCCTCATCTGAGAACTTCGTGTGTATTTAGGGTGCCGTAATCCTGAGATTAGGAAGCTTGTCCATTGGCTGTGGGTTTAGCGAACACCCTTCAGACAACGTCTTGTGTTAGCTTGGTGACAGAGAAGGCAATGTGAGAGTTAACTGGTTGGGACCTAGAGTTTACAGACCAGGACTGCTGTGCCATGCTTCTTCCTCAATTTGTGCTGCTGTCCAAGAACAGAGTATTTGCTTTGAGAGAGGCCAGGTCGTCAGGGAAGCAGAAGAGATGCTGACCCTGCCTGAACAGAAGGGAGGAGTGGAGGAGGGGAAATGAGGCAACCCCATGAGAATTAAGAATAAACAGATCTTCACTGGTTCCAGGGTAACCTCCCTGTTCTGAAGGGCATAGGCCTGTGCGCTGGTGTTAATCCAGCGGTGTTTGTAAAGTGGGTTGCAAGAGGTGCTAGCTTCATGTCTTCTGATCTTGATCTCTCTGCTCAGCAGACAGAACAGGCAGGCAATACCATGAGCATCAATGTGCCACAAGTCCAGCTCATCAACCCTGAAAACCAAATTGTGGAGGTAAGGTACACCTCTCGATGACCCCTGCAAGTTCTTTTCCCAGGCTCGCATTGAAACCTTTTGCTTGATCCTCACGTTGTATTTCAACATCTCCAATGTTTTGCCTGCCCAGACTGACGGAACAATGAACTTGGACAGTGATGAAGGGGAAGAGCCGTCACCTGAAGCTCTGGTCCGTTACCTCTCAATGAGAAGGCACACAGTTGGAGTAGCTGACCCACGGTTAGTATTGGGACTCCAGCTCCCTGATGGAGGATGAAGGGAACCTGGGGATGTACTCCTAGCACATGACTTTGGTCCTCGGTCCCAGGTCTCTACTTCACTCTAGCCAGACCAGGCGGTGATGAGTGCATGTGCATGTACCAGGGCTGGTATCAAACCTTTGGTTTCCTGCCCCTGCTGTGAGTGGCTTGGGGTTATTTCTGCAGACTTGATTTTTGCTAGACGGAGAAAGAGATTCAAGGTGTCTATTTAGCAAAAGTATTCTTTTAAATGTCCTAGTCCCATTGCACAACTTGGTTAGTATTTCGGATGAGGGTGAGATGCTTTTCTCCTCTTGTTCCTGATTATCTCCGTGTAAGCTATGGTGGTGTTCACTGATGTGCAAGGTGGTTTCACACCTAAGCTGCGCTGCTGTCATGTCCTGGTGAAGGTTTCGTGATAAATGTGATTGAGGTTAATGCAAAGAGCTAGTTCTGGCAAATCTCAGCTCGGGGGAGGGAGAAGGGGACAAATGAAAACCAAAGAGTGGCTTGGTGATTCTCTGTGACCGTTTTCCAGAGCATTAAGGAGCCTTTTTGTGAGGGGAAGCTGCGTGCACTGGGCCCGTGGGTGGTTTTCTTCGCACTGTCGCTCATTCACCTGTCTGTAAATGTGATTGCACAGGACCGAAGTCATGGAAGATCTGCAGAAGCTCCTGCCTGGCTTCCCCCGTGTCACTCCTCAGGCTCCGTTCCTGCAGGTGACCCCGAATGTGAACTTCATGCACAACGTGCTGCCTAGGCAGAACCTGCAGCCCACGGGTCAGCTGGAGTACAAGGTACTGACCAACGCGCGTGCTCCCTGCTGCTCTCTGGATCCCAGCAGCATGTGGGAGGTTGTTTGTGCTCCCCCTTGCTCTCCCTATTTGCCAGTCCCTTGGACTCTGTAAGCTTCAAGATTTACCCTCTTGCCGTCTCCTTAGGCATGATTTTAGCTGGTTACTTAAAAAGCTGAAGAATGAAAGAACATTGCAATTTGAAAGTAATTAACGGGCTGTGGAGAAGGAGGACTGTGCTGCCTGGCTTTGGAGCTGCGGGTGGCAGCCTGCCTGGCAACTAAAGCAGAGAGTGCAGGGAAACGGAGAGTTAAACACTGCTTCTCCGTTGACACTGCCTCTCGCTGCCCCATGTCAGCTCTGAGATGTTGGTGACATTTCTTCATCTCTCCTGAAGTCCAGAAGGCTTGTCTTCTCTCGTGCCAGTGTCTGCGTTTGTGACCTTGGGGCTCAGGTGCCGGAAGGATCCGGCGTGGGGTTGATAACTGCACTGTCTGTGCTTCCCAGGAGCAGTCCCTGCTGCAGCCCCCGACCCTGCAGCTGCTGAACGGCATGGGCCCTCTGGGGCGGAGGGCGTCGGATGGCGGAGCGAACATCCAGTTACATGCACAGCAACTGCTGAAACGTCCTCGAGGGCCATCTCCACTCGTCACTATGACGCCAGTAAGTCGCAAAAGGGAAGAGGAGGATCGGTGGTGTGCTTATAAATATCTTTTCCCGCAGGCGGAGGTGACTGCCTCCAGGTCACAGCAGGCAGAGTAGCAGGCTCAGGCTGTAGCACTCAGGAAGCACTGCACGGAGTGTGCCCGCTTGCTTCCAGAGGTTCCCCTACTCTGGAGCAGCGGGGTGCTCTCTTCCCTTGTGGGAGAGTTGCTGTGCTCTCCTGTAGCTAGCAGCCGAGACGGTATTCCTCTCTGGCATTGTCAAAACCTTTGTGAACTTCTCTCAATGGTAGCTTTTCTTCTCCTTTGCTGTTCTAATTGAAAAACCTAAAATGTCCGTCTTGGATGTTGATGCACGTTCTTTCTTCCTCAATGCATCTGTATCAATGAATTTTCCTGGTAGCCTCAAAAGAAGCAGCAGCCTTGTACGGGTGGTTTTGTGATTGGGGAGGGGATGCTGGAAGGGCTTCTTGGCCGAGTGTCCTCAAGGCTGCAGAGGAGCTGACATACGTCCTTGTGATAGCTTGTGCGGGAAGGTCAGGTGTCCGCTGTGCAGATGGGACCACGCCGGCCGCTTTCCGAAACCCGTGGCTTCTCTTCTCTCTGCAGGCTGTCCCAGCTGTCACCCCCGTGGACGAGGAGAGCTCGGATGGGGAGCCAGATCAGGAAGCTGTGCAGAGGTAACTCCCCGTCTGTTATCGTTTGCCCTTGCTGCCTCCAAGAGGCTCACCCTGTGGTGTTCCACTGCCGATTTAGAACACGAGCAACTTCATCACAGGCACCAGTGTTGATTACAGTGAAGGCTCAACACTTCTCTTGTTCTTGTGGGTGTTGATTACTGCAGGCAATTACTCCTCTGACACTACTAGGTGCTTACAAAGCTGAATTCCCCCTGAAATGGTTAGCTAATTGAGCAGTAGGTTCTCCAGAAACTCTGAAACTGCTAAATTCCTTTGCTTAGTGTGCACCAGCATGCAATCCACACTAACCTGCAAAATGAGTGCTAAGTGATTCACCCCTCCCTGCTGAGTGATGGAGGTAGGAAGATCTCATCTGTGGCCTTGGGTGTCAATGCAGCTTTTGTATCAAGACATGCAGTAAACATCCAACTCTGATGCCTTAAACAAAGTGAGCTTGCTGGAAATACGGGTACCTCTAGCTTCCAGTTTTAGTGATAGGCGTTAAGAGAGTCTGCTCCAATAAGGAAAGGTTTATTAGATATCAGGCTGGAAACTTCCGTTCTCTTTGTCTGCTCCAAACATATACTAGGCAGGGGGTAGAAATGCTTGTACTTTCTCAATCCATGAAAACACTAACCATGTCCTTGCTAACATTTCCTTAGTAGCTTTTGCGTAGTTTCTTCTCTGCTAACCAGCTGGTGCACTACAGGTGGTGGGTGTGGTTACGGAACGCTCCTACTTCTTACCTGAAGCTTGAAAGGTTTTGCTGGATTTCCCTCCCAAGCTTTATACACGCCACCACCTCAAGTAAGGTAGCGTTTCCTCAGGGGCTGCGCTCGAGTGAAGGATTCAAACGGGGGGTTGGTTGCAGGCAGAGAAACGCGGGGGTGGGTGGAGGTCCTGCTCCAGAGCCTTTGCCAGCTCTTCTCCTTTCCGTGCTCCAGAGTGAAGGGGGGATTTGAACGGTGGGTGTGTGCAGCGACAGATTGTGCAGAGTGTGCACTGAGACTCCTTTCGCCTGCCTGAGCTCAGAAGATAGTCAGAGCTGGTACACGTGAAAGAACTCTCCTCCAGCCCTCCCTTAGAGCTGACACAAAGCACATCTTGTGTTTTCTGCATAGCCTTACGCTCTAGTTCTTCACCACCCTCATCTTTGTGCTCACTCTCACGGTAGTTTTCCGGCCTGACGAGCTGCTGTTCATCCACCGAGCCGCGATACCAGGGGAAGGTGCGTGCTCGTGACCTCTGCCCCAGCTGCAGGGCAGCACGATGGAAGAGATGGGGCTAAGTCGTAGTGTCGAGCAGATGAAGAGCGTGCGCCTCCAGGCACCGTAGGCCACGTTCAGCCCCTGTTAAGCTGCTCTACCCTAACTGCGCGCTGTCCTCCCTGGCAGGGCTCAGGAGCACAGACTCTGTACGCAGCTATGCTGCCCAGATAGCTGTTAAAAGTTGTAATGTAGGGCCCGTAATGCCCGCTGACGACACCTCAAATGGCGGGCAGTCTTTCTGACTGTGCAAGTCGGATAAATCTGAATCTTGGCAAGGGGATGCCTGGGCATCTTAGCTGGGCCGATTTTCACCTCTCCTTAAACCTAAGATTTCAGTTGAGTCTTTAAGTTAAAGCATTAGCTCAGCTGGAAACATTTTGAAACCCCCATGCAGTATTTTGTAGGCTGCAGGCCACTGACACGTTCAGGTCCCGCTGAAAGGCAAGTCTCCTCGGTCCCCTAGGTCACGTTGCTGCTGCTCTCGAGAGTGCTGCCCTTAGTCCTTTCACGCCACATGTTGTTCTTCCAGCAGATGGCCCAGAACAAGCCCTATCCAGGTTGTGTGTTGACTTGCTCTCCACCCCCTTATGTTGCAACGTGTCAGCAGTCATCAGAGGAGAAGGGTAAATAGCATTAACATCAGGGACAGATGCAAATATTTAGCTTCTCAGAACGCTGCACCGAACACTCTGTATGCAGCCAGCAGTGAGCAGTTTTTGCCCTTCTTCATCTGACCTTGAAAACAGAGCATAGTCTTTTCTGTGTTCCAGGGAACAGTCACATCTCCTTTGAGCTTTGGGAAACGGACTTCCACCCGAAATGCTGTTATAGCTCATGACTGGATTGTTCCCTGGAGGTCTGAAATAAAATGATCTTAGCAAACCACAACTGTAAAGCTCTTTGGGAAACTTTCCCCGTCTGCATCAAATGATTCTTAAACAGCTAATGGCACAGACCTTGGCAAGTTACCACAACGCTAAGCACTCCTCATTCTGTTAACTTGCTGTCTTCTGCTTAAGTGGCTTCAGTCGCTAGCGAGGAGAGGCTGGGTTTGGGGAAGGTGATGACTTTATAGCTCGCTGCTGTTCTGTGCTTCACCAGTTGAAGTTGCAGGGAGCCTTAGCAGGGGAAAAGAGTGAAGGTGAGAATTCCCTGTTAGTATCCCTGGTGTCGCTGGCCAAGTGATCTTTGTCACAGTCACCACAGCTGCCTCGTTGCTGCTGGCTCGCAGGAGTAGAAATAGTCAAGTTCATAAGCGGGCGTTCATCCCTCCTGGCCTTGAGCGGGTGACGTGCCAGCCCCCCTGCTCATCACAGGCCAGGGCGTGCGGGGTAGGTGCTTCAGTTGTCCCTCTGGCCCCGTGTCCCCAGCAGCTCAGGGCAGCGAATGTCAGAGCTGCGTGGCCCTTCGGCACATCCCTGCCAAAGCAGAGGCTCCTGGTTTCGCCCTGCGCACTCCCCCAGTCATTAGGGGGTTTGCAAAAGAACCGCGGTCGCTTAGCTTCGGTGCGAAGGTTGCTTTCATTTCAGCTGCGGCCCCCGGGCTCTGGCGTAAGAAGCGAGCCCAGCCTTAGCGCTGGTGGCTCCGCAGGAAGGGACCCCCTCTCTGCTTGGTCTCCCTTGCTACTTTCGCCCTGCGCATCGCCTGGCGATTCCGATTCCGGGCTCCTCGGGGAGCGGAGCAGGGAGTAGATGGTGCACATGGGCCGGGCTGAGCACCAGCCCTTCCTCGGCCCAGCACCCTTCCTCACACCCCTCGGACAGCCAGGGGCTCTGCCCACCCGTAATCTCCGGTGGGGCGGCCCTGGTGTACCCTTCCCCTGCTGTGATGAGCTGGCCACTGCTCACGGCCAGAGCTGAGGCGTCCTGGGGTAGGTCTGAAGGGCAGAGGCTGTTCTGCAAGGGGGCAGCTGAGCAGCAGCTCTGCTCTGTGCCTGTTCTCCGGCCGGTGCTTGGTAGGATTATCGGTGACTTGTCTCTTGGCTCCGTGCATGCAGCAGGCTTCTCCGTGGCTCAGTGGGGCCTTGGGAGAGGGAGGCAGACCTGCTGTAGCAGAGTGAATCCACACTGAGGGCAGGTAGCCACCTGGGTATTCCCAAAGGGATATACCGGCATTCCCCTTGAGCTGAAACATGGCTTTCGTGCTGGGAAGAACAAATAGCTACTCTTTCCTTCCGAGGCTGGCAGTGGCACCCAAGCAGCTGAAACTGCACTTGTCCCCTAAGCACCGGAGAGCCAGCGATGTGACGGGCATGGGCAGCGTGTCCATGGCGTGCTTCTCCCTGGCTGGTTCCGAGCACCGCAGCAAGCATTCTTCCTTCCCGTTTACTCTGGATTATCTAACGCTCCCTGTTTTTGGAGTACCCCCATCAGTCTCTTATAAAATGTGCTCCTGCTTGTTGCAGATACTTGGCAAATAGGTCAAAAAGGCACACTCTGGCAATGACCAACCCTACAGCTGAAATCCCTCCAGACTTGCAGAGGCAGCTAGGACAGCAGTCCTTCCGACCCCGGGCTTGGGCTCCACACCTGGTACCCGATCAGCACCGGTGAGTAATGGCACCGGCCGTTCGGGCAGCTTTGCGCCAGGAAACCTGCTCAGATGTCATCTGGAATGGAGCACTGAGGACATCCCGCTTGGCAGGGAGGGGTGAGGAGGAGGAACGAGGATGAAGAGCAGACCCGCAGAGCAGAGGGTGTCTGAGCACGCTGGGGCCGCTGGAGTTCTGCGCTGGCATGGGCTCCGTGCCTGCAGATAAAAGCAACGCAGGGGCAGGAATCAGCTGGCGCTTCCCCTCCGGTCCTGTTTTTGTGGCTGGAGATGACGTACCGAAATGGCTGCTGCCACATAAGGCTTCGGAATAAGCTATTTGTTTTAGGGGAAAGCTTTTCTCTGTTGTAATGGTAGGTGTCAAGCTCACGGTAGATAGCAGATGTTCTACAGGATGTTTTCGGAGGCAGATGCAGGCAAAAGGCTGCACCAAGAGTCATCTAGGCTAGAGCTTAAAAACCTCACTGTTCTGCACCAGAGTTGTGTGTTTTGACTGCAAAGTCTCTTTGCAAAGCTCCTCAAGAGTCATTTTATTTCTGATCCAAACCCCTGATGGGAACGATGCAGGGAAGGGAAGCTGGGGTGGGAAGAAGAGAAATGACAGCGTCTGAGACAGAGGGAATCTCTGCAGATAGGATCTAAACACACTCAAAACGTGTGGGTGGGGCACTCCCAATGGAGAGGGGTGCTAATTTGACAGAGTCCGTGCCACAGCAGCAAACCGGAGATGCTGATGCCACAGAGGGAGCTTAAAAACTGGCGCTCTGAACCTCTTGGTGCTGAGAGCGCAAACAGGCTGCAAACTGCCGAGTTTGGTGCCTGTTGATCTGGGCTGTGGAGAAAGCAGTCGCCTGCCAGGCGACATCGGTGCTTGTGTTAAGTCTTTCAGCCAGCTCACACTGGCAAAGCTTGACAAAGCGCTTTTTATTGTAGCCAGATACCTGCTGAGTTGAGCACTGATGTAATCAGCAGAGACAGGTGAACTCTGAGCAGACTCAGCCAGTGCTAGTGCCACGCTGGAACTCCAGAAAACCCAGATAAGCACTTCTATACCCTGAAGTTACTCCCTCACAGAGGTGTTGGGGGGTTGGAAAGAGCAGGAGGGGAAAGATTTCTAGGGTCACAGCTTGATAGGAAGAGGAGTGCAGCTTGCAAAACCACCAGAATGTGCTGTGTCCTGCTTTAAGGATTGCTTCAAGTCGTAAAGGTAAGCTGGGTCCCTCGTGCACTGCAGGAACTGATTTGTTTTTTTTACAACCCTGTTAAAACACACTTATCCTCTAAATATGTTGGTATCACTCCTGCCTCTTGGCTTTGGAGTCCTGAGGCTGCTGCATCACAAACAGGGTGGTATCTGCTCGTTCCACCCTCGGCATTGTAACACGCTGTGAGCCTGCCGCACGTTTTACCTGCGAAATCACAGAAACTTCATTGACCACGGCCTAGACAGATTGCCCCGTGTTGTGTCCAAGACACGTATGGCACAGAAACCATTAGCAGTCATGTGCCATCGCATAAACAGACCTCAGTCACTGAATGGTATGTGGCTTTTATTTTAGCATTTAACATATTTTAAGCCATCTTCTTAGGTAGCACCTGGTTTTGGTCACAATAACTCAGTAACTGAAAGCAGAGTGAAAGTGAAACAATTGTACAAGCGGTACAATTGTTCTGCCTTGGCCACACGGGTTTGGGAACCTCAGCATCATTTTATTTGTAGCCTCTGCTTTCCATCAATACAACAGGAGATCAAATGGATCAGGATAATGGATGGGATGGCATCAGAAGGCAGGGGCACAGCTCTGTCCTTGGAAGAAAGTTGTGTGAAATCTATAGAAACTGCAGCGCGTCCTGCTAAGGCAGACCAAGTGACAAGAACTGAACCCAGCACGTTGGAAAGGGTCCAGCACCAGTCACCTTCTGATAAGGGGAACCTCTCCAGGAAAAATAGTTTCACTTTGTGGAACAGGCTTCGGTACAGAGCCGTATTCAGTCGCCACGGCAGTAACTTGCCTGCAGTAACGTGGTTCAGGACCACACCGGCGTGCAGCAGACGGGCCCCTGTTGGCTTTAGTGCCAGGATCTCGGAGGGGCTGTAAAGACCACGTCTCCGTCACCACCTCGCAGACAAAGGCTACTGTTGGAGCCTGTACCATTAAGTATCGTTTGCTGGGTTCCATAGATTGCATTTGCACAGAAACCGTTAGGGCAGGCAGAGAAACCCGGTTCTGTTGGTTGTGAGGCACAGCGTGACACGTGTATGGAAAGTTAGCCTGGCTGATGATAATGCAGGTCGCACCTAATGGCAGGGCAGGAGCTTAGTGCTTGGCTTTGGTACTGGGGAGCCCCAACGTTGGGAGAAACCAGCTCCTGAAAAAAAAATTCTGGCTCCCTCTGATGGTGAAGAAGAAACCTCACTGTGAAGGGAGGAGAGTGCTTGGGCGCAGTTGCCTCAACGCTGGCCATGTCTGCTTTCCAAATGTGCCCGTTCTGATTGCCCAGTGCCAAGCATCCAGGCAACTGGGAGACTCTGCATGTGAAGTGACAGCTCGGTTAATGCATTAGAAAGATTTCCCCTACTGTGCAGAGTTATGTTCCTGCCCTCTTTTTTTTTTTATTTTAATTCAGTGCATCTCTAAGCATGCGTGCCAGTCTCCCTTCTTCCTCGGAGGCTGCAGAACACGTCAGACTCCTTTCTCCATGTGCCCCTCCTGTTTTCCACAGGCATCGGATGTAGTCAGGGGCCCTGGGGAGCTGGAAGGCTCAGGAAGTGGCTACTGAAGAGGTGAATTTTAGATTCTTAGGATGCTGAATGGTTTCTGTAAACCTTTTCCATCTGAGGGATAGATCCATCGGTATGGATGGACAATGAGTGGCTGCCCATCTGGAATCTGGTTTCTGCCTGAGACGTCTCCAACCTTAAAAACATGTTTATCTGCCCATGCACTGAGGGTACCTGGTAGTCCTGTTCACGGTGACGATGACACTTTATTTCTCGATCTGAAACGTGGTTTATTCTGGGTGAGTGGGCAGGTAGCACTTGGCATGGCTGGTATAAATTAAATGTCTCTGTACCAGAGTTTGGTTTTGATTTATTTATTTTTTTTAGCTGGCGTCACTAACCCACTTCCCCATGTGTTCAGTTCTATTTACAAGGACTCAAATACTCTGCATCTCCCCACCGAACGCTTCTCCCCAGTTCGGCGCTTCTCTGATGGTGCTGCCAGCATCCAGGCTTTCAAAGCCCACCTGGAGAAGATGGGCAATAACAGTAGCATCAAACAGCTTCAGCAGGTAAAAGAGAGGGGTGGGGGGTCCTCAAAAGAGCCTCGACAAGGGCTTTTTATTGTCTCAGCCTTGCTGGTTCAGGAAGCAAAAGGTGAAATCTTGACCGCTAATAGCTGAGCACACACAGTGGTGGCTTTCTAGCCGAGGAGCTGTTCCCTCTCCGTATGGCTGCGGCAACCCTGCCGAGTGTCCTCTGAATGTATGTGCTGTTCACCTGCAGGCTGGCAACCTGGGCGGCTTCCACCTCTCTGTTTCTAGGGAGCAAACCGCGTACTGTGCCCACGCATGGGCCGTTCTGCCGACCCTCACGGGTCCCACCAGCACCGCAGCTGCTGCTCTCCCACATTTTCTGTGGCAGCAAAGTTTTGGGGCTGTTCCCCAGCCCGGGGTGTCCCCGGAAGAGGGGAGTCCCTACCGCCAGAGTTTGGAGTGTATTGTGTGCTATTCCCTACGCAGCCAGCGCACTTCTTATCAATGACTCGAGCGGGATTTGGCCCCAGGACAGGACACGGTAGAAACAGGAGTTGCTCTTTTCACCTTGAAGTTGTCATTACTAGAGCTTTGTGCTTGCCTCTTTAAGGGAGCGCAACGGTACCGGCTTGGTGTCACGTGCACCCGTTTCTTTTCTGTTGTCTAAGGCTTGAGCTAGCAGTGTTACACACCTGATTCTGTCAAATTAAATGGATTAGGCTCTCCTTGCTGGCTTTTTCAGACAGGTAGGCTGCAGAAAGCACCCTTTTACACAGCAGGTGTGCTGTACACAAAAAGGCCACTTGCAGGGTGTCTCGGATTCGTTACAGGAGTGCGAGCAGCTTCAGAAGATGTACGGTGGGCACATGGACGAGAGGACGCTGGAGAAGACCCAGCAGCAGCATATGTTGTACCAGCAGGAGCAGCACCATCAGATTCTTCATCAGCAGATTCAGGTACTGGAGCCTGAGCCAGACCTTCTGAAGCCCGAGCTGTGTTTCCCTTGCATTGCTGCAGGTACAACTTCTGTGAGCGGGTCCCGGTGGGATTGAGGAGGGTAGGTGGTTCGGCTTGCTGTAACGAGAAGCAAGCCTGAAGGACTCCAGCCGTGATGTTGGCACAGCTGCTGCAATAGCCAGAGCTGCAGTCAGGGATTGAGTATTTGGTGAATCTGGATATGTCCTTCCTCACCGGTCTGCATTTTCTAAATTTACGAGTTGAGGCACTGTTGATTGCAAACGCTTTTTGTTTTCTTCTGGTGCCTGGTTCAGGACTGTATCCGGCCACCCCAGCCATCTCCACCCTTGCAAGCTCCATGTGAAAACCAACCGGCTCTGCTCACTCACCAGCTTCAGAGGTAAAGAAATTGCTTTAGTAAAGCTCTGGGGAATGGGTTTTTCTCTCGCTCAAGCCCAAGGATGAGCTGAGGCACTTGGGAGAGTCCAGGGCCAAGCTGGAAGTGTATGAAGTTACAATGGCATAAGCAGTCCCCAGGTGAATGTGCCTGGTCCCTTTAGCTGGATGCTGCCTGAAGGACTGTCAGAGGCCGAGAAACATGATTCGAAGGCACAAGTCTGCTTTGAACAGATGATTGACAGTTCTGCCTCTTGACCTGCTTGAAAATGCGTTACCTTCAGTAGCCGGTTTCTCTCGTGCTTTCTGCTCAGAGCTGCTACTGGACGTCTTGCACCTTTTCGGGCTTTCGGTTTGGTAACTGTCCTTGGCTTCGGCACCCTGACTGGTAGATGAGGCAGGCTGAATTACGGGAAAGGAGAAAGGAAGGTTTCTCACTGGCCACAGCGAGTCGGGAGGCGAGCCCGCACTGTCTGTGTTCCCCGGGTTTCTGTTGTAGCCACCGGGTTATGCTCGCTCCCCGTGTGACTTGGGCAAGTCAGGCGGCTCTCAGAAGAGAAGCCAAGCTGTAAAGAGCTTGAGATCCCAAGCAAGGGCTTTATGGTGTTTGTTGATTTGAAACAAGAGAAACGCAGCATTTGGCGTTGGCTCTCGCAGTTGAAAAGGCATCTTAATGAGGAGCAGGCGTAAGGAAAAGGTGCTTGTTTCCCTGCGTAGGTTACGGATTCAGCCATCCAGCCCGCCCCCGAACCACCCTAATAACCATCTCTTCAGGCAACCGAACAGCAGCCCACCTCCTGTGAGCAGCAGCGTGCTCCAGCCTCACGGTAAGCGCTGACCCTTTGCTGAGCCATCTGCGCTCCTCCGGGCGGGCCGCCCTGGGGCCCTTCCAAACCGCCGGGGAAAACAGCGGGGGCGGGGGGCTTCGGTTCCCCCCTGCGGCCGCGTCCTTGCGCGGTTTGCTGATGCTGTAAAAGATTCTTCATCTGGCAGCAAGGGCTGGTGTTATCGAGAGCTGGCGAGGAGCTGCCGGCTGGAATGTGCTGTTGGGTTTGTTGTCATGAGATCCTTCGTTATCACTCCCGGGGGTGGGGAGGAAGGGCCGATATTCTCGGGTTTATGCAAATCACCGTCAACTCGGCTTTGTTTCTCTTTCTGCGCAAGGGGCTCTAGCTGCGACCTTTGCACGCTGGCGCAGCGTGACGGAGCCGCGCTCCTCCCCCGCCGGCGCCACGTACTG